CTGTATAATGTCTTCAATCTCATTTTGTTAAAAAAAAAAAATGGTGAGAAAATCGAATCGTGAAATCAAAATGGTGAATCGAATCGTGAGTTGAGTGAATCGTTACATCCCTATCTTTTTGTACTGTATATTGTTATTTTTGAGCACAAAACTACCTTGGTCTGTCTCATGTCACTACTAAAACATCAATAAAATGCTTCATGGTGAGACTTTATAATGTTATATAATATGGAACCACCATATTATATCAGGATTGAAATTACCGAATACAAATGCTTTTTTGTGTGTTTTGTATGGTTATCAGGTCTTCCACCTGCTATGCAGAAAGTGATGTACAAAGGACTGCTACCAGAGGACAAGACGCTTCGAGAAATCAAAGTTACAAATGGTGCAAAGATTATGGTGGTTGGATCTACAATAAATGATGTACTAGCTGTAAATACACCAAAAGAAGTTATTCAGCAAGAGGTTAAAGCTGAGGAGAACAAAAAGGAGCCATTGTGCAGGCAAAAGGTGGGTGGAAAACCTATTTACATAATGTGAACTCTAGCGAGTTATGATGGAAAGAATTCTTACAAATATACCTGTGTACTTATATTTTATAAATGTACTTGTGGATGCTTTTTTTTCTCAGCAACATAGAAAAGTTTTGGACAAAGGAAAACCAGATGATGTCATGCCATCTATAAAAGGAGCTAAGGTATGCAAAACCTGTGAGGCATAGGATATGATAAGACTGTACCATTTCATTGCACACATGCCGAACAAAATTAATTTGATACATATTAGGGCTGTTAATTTAAGTAATTAGTTATGGAAAAATAATGTGATTAAAATATTTTAATGCAGTTAACACACTGGCCCCGCCCCAGAACTCACTGCGTAATGTAGTCAATAAATGCAGTTATGGGCCCCTAAAATTTAAGATGTTGGGGCAGAAATGTCCCTATGAGTTTTTGTCCCGAATAGCACAAGTGCAAATGTGATTTCATACAACAGTTCAGTAAATAAGAAGTTAATATTGTTTTAGTCTGTTTTTGCTCAATCCTGCCAAGAAAATATTACCTATAAGGCCATTGCAGAGCTGTTTTGCATCTCCAAGCATCAGGCAGCGGTGTTTCATTTCTGAATGAATCAGCCATTCGAACGAATCGAATGAATGACTCAATGACTTACTCATAAAGATATTTACCGCCACCTACTGGCAGTTTTAGTTTCTTATTTAGAGTATCCATAAACATTAAAGGGATAGTTTACCCAAAAATAACATCATTCTGTCATCATTTACTCACTCTCATTTTTAATTTATATGACTTACTTTCCTTTGCTGAACATAAAAGAAGATATTTTTTAGAATGTAACCAAGCTGTTTCTGTTACTAATGACTTTCATTGTATTAACAAAAAACACTGAAATGTTTCTCAAATTATCTTCTTTTATGTTCCATAGCTTATATTAGGCTCTTAAATGTTTGTGTAATACATTTTCTTGAATCAAATAAAATATTTCTTTCTAAAGGTACTTTTTGTTATGTCTACTTGATACTTTTCTCATTTAACACAATAATGGCTTTAAATGATCTTTTGTGGGAATTTTCAGTCAAATTCAATTTGTGATTAATTACATTAATCGACACATCTTGCAGTTAATTACATTAAAAATGTTAATAGATTGACAGCCCTGATATATATATATATATATATATGTATATATATATATGTGTGTGTGCTGTTGGCAGACGCTCCTGTTTAACAAATAAGAGATCACTCGGATGTCATTAGTGTGTAAAATGAATTTATCAGGAATGTACAACAAATCTGGCGGAAAAGTACGACTCACATTTAAACTGGAACAGGATCAGTTGTGGATCGGAACAAAAGGTGATTTCATCATTTAATTAAACACTTATCCATAATACTTGGTTTATGTTGATTTTTTTTCTGGCCTGCAGAAAGAACAGAAAAAATCCCGATGGGTTCCATCAAAAATGTTGTGACTGAGCCAATAGAGGGTCATGAGGACTATCATATGATGGTATGTGTTTATCGCAACATTTAACAAAACTATGCATTGTATCTGTCATTCTCAAACTGGATTTTTTAAACTTAACATACTAATGATAACTGTAAATATTTTACTTATTGTTTGGTGCTGCTATAAGACATATATATATGCTTGTTTGTTTGTTTGTTTGTCACCCTAGGCATTTCAGCTGGGTCCGACAGAAGCCTCACAATATTGGGTCTACTGGGTGCCTGCACAGTTTGTTGATGCAATCAAAGACACAGTTCTCGGAAAATGGCAGTATTTTTAACGTGCCTCTATAGACACTGAAGAATTGGGATTCAGAGCAAAAGATTGATAACATTAACTGGAGCCAACACAATAATCTGAAGAACCGATTTTTCTGAAGTATTTCCAGAGCAAACCGAAGGATTGCTGTTGGACAAAATATTTTGGGGGTTTTAAGTGCACTAAGTGTCAGCATCCCGTTTTTCAAACTGTTTCACCACTCGTTTTGTTTTTTTTTAAAGCAATCCCAAGCATAAACAGAAAATTGTACAGAACTTTGCATATACATTTCTCGTAGTTATTCTGAAAGAAATAAAAATTATTTAAGGAAAATGATTGATGCAGTAGAAAGATTTTATCTAGTATATTCCTTGGTTTACCATACAACTCAAGCAATCTTGCCAAAGTCGATATAGTTCACAGTTGTTAGTTTTACAGTCAGCTTTTATGATTGCACAGATTATAGTTTACATGTAAAGCAGCAGCAATGTAACACTCAAATATGGTATTAATCAAGGTTAAAAGAGCATTGTTGCATTTTATGTGGTTCAAAAAATTCTGCATTTTCTTCAAGACTTTTAATAGCACATGGAGAGCTCATCTCATTTTGCCTTGATGCAGAATTACAACCCAAAAGCCAAGAGTACAGTTGCTCAGCCTCTGTACTTTCAACCACATGATACTTTGACAAAGGCAATATCTTTTTTATATTTCATGGTTAAACGCAGCAACATCTCTAGGGCCAAGTCCCTCTCAAATCAGATGTTATATTAGGGAAAAAACAGTGTTGATGTGCCCTTAATACTCAGTCGTTTAACTAAGTTGCTGATGATTGACTATTCTGATCATGCATGTTGTTTTTTCAAACATGGTGCTAACCAATGATAAGCATTTTTAATTCAATAAAGCCCAAAGGAAGGAAGAATTTCAGTGACCTTTCTGTAATAAATTTGCCTGTATACTTACGTTTTTAATTTTCAAACTCTATGTAGCAGCTCACAATTTAAATTCCTCCTAAATCATATATTTCAGTATATATGTATCTAATTCAATAGTAAGAGGAATAGCTCACCCTAAAACGAAAATTTTATCACCTTGAGGCCAAGATGTTGATTTAGCATTGCATCACTTGTTCACCAAAGGATCCTCTGTAGTGAATGGGTGCCGTCAGAATGAGAGTCCAAACAGCTGATAAAAACATCACAATAATCCACAAGTAATGACATGAATTTAGTCCAGTCAAGATCATGTGAAGCGAAAAGTTGTATGTTTGTAAGAAACAAATCCATCATTACGATATTTTTTAACTTTAAACCTTTGCTTCCGGCTAAAATATGAGTCCTCTATCCATAATATTGATTTCTCCAGTAAAAAGGTCACTTCCTCTGAATCAGGAGAGAAATATGCACATATCAAGTACCGTTTACAAGTGAAAACGGTCCAAAACACTTCTAATCAAATATGTCGGTGGATTTTAATGCGAGAGGATGACAGGGGATGGACTCGTATATTTTGGACAGAATAGATGGTTTAAAGTTAAAATGCTTTATTACAAATGATGGATTTGTTTAATACTAATATTATTTATTAATGTATTTATTTTATTAAATATGCAGCTTTTCGCTTCACAAAATACTTGTTGATGGAGTCGTGTGGATTACTTGTGGATTATTGTGATGTCTCAATCAGCTTTTTGGACTCTCATTCTGACGGCACCCATTCACTGCAGAGGATCCTTTGTTGAGCAAGTGATTTAATGCTGAATTTCTCCAAATCTGTTTTGATGAAGAAACAAACTTATCAACATCTTGGATGGCCTGAGGGTGAGTAAATTGTCAGCAAATGTTCATTTTTGAGTGAACTAGTCCTTATATGAGAAAGTTGTGTAGATCCATCACCCCCTTAATGTAATAAGCTACATAACTATTATTTAGAGTTCTATTTCATAATTAGAAAGATTATACAGCTGTCTGTGGTTGAGCATTAGCATTTTTCTTTTTCAAAATACTCTCTGATGTGTAAAGTGTTTCAGTATCAACTAGTAATAGTGCCTCTGAATGGAAATATGAGTATATTACATAATGTGAAAAAACACTACATTCAAATATTTTGAATATTAAAACCATTACACAGCTGGTTCATGAATATATGCAGCAAAATAAGACTTGAGTACTTTTTTCTATTTTGTGTCCATATTTTTATTTACATGCAAATCAATCACGTTCTCCTTTTGTTTAACCTCAAATATCTTAAAAGCTTCCATTGAACTCATTTATTGAGCGGTCCCAATTTAACAGATATCTCAGATGTATTATTTCAATTGCAATTAAATAGTACATTCAATTTGCTTTTTGCTACTTGAGTAGTTGTTTTCCAAAAATCTGCTGTTGTCATGCGTGGATCACAGGTGTACAGCTCAGGTTAAGAAGAAAAAAGAAACCGGTTTTGATCACTATCACTGACATGAGGAATGGAAAGTATGCCTTCAGATATGTAGCAGCGCTACAACACAACTGGAATATTTTTTAACCTCGTTAACCTATGAGCTCATCTTCAAACAAGTAACTTTATATAACTGACTATAAAAACAGTGAGGTTTGTGACATATATATTTAGTTATCAGTCTCTTTGTCCAAAATGATTTGCAAATAACTCCAATAATGAAAATTGAGAAAACTAAACCAAATCATACCATTTTTTCAAAAGGCACACACTTTTTTGTCAAGGTATACACACTATTTCTGTTTCACACAGGTTGCCAAATAAATAATTGTTCAAAATTCAAATGCAACTCTTTTTTTTTTTTTTGCAAACGGAGTTTTGCACCAGCTGTTACTATGGCAGAGTCTTGTCGGAAACACTGCATTTACCAATCAGAGCATCAGAACCATCTATTTCATAAAGTAAGCAGAACTAACTGTTTTATGTTTTAATTATGTTTACATTACATTTACATTTATTAATTTAGCAGCCACATTTATCCAAAACGACTTACAAAGGAGGAACATTACAAGCAATTTATCTTTCTTTTTTTTTTTTTTGTCAGATGCAAATACTCAGCTTGAGTTGTCATCCTACAACCCTTTTTTATTATTATTACAGTTTCTATTTGTAAGCAGAGCAGTTTGGTTAAAACACCGTTGCTGTGTGATGGTGCGAAATGTTTGATCTGTGTGTGCTGGTACAAATTTATCTCTATTGAATGATCCAAATGATCTGTGACCATGTGTCACCCCCAGTCTTGAAATATCTGAGACATGCATAACAAAATACGCCTGTTTCTTATACTGCAGGACAGCTGACTGTAGAAAAAGCGATAGCCTGTGTTTTTAATGCTCTGAAGAATACATTGTTGGTGTACTTCCTGAAAACATCTTGTGACAGTAATTGGTTGCAGCCATGATTATAGAGATGTTTTTGTCATGTCATTTAATAGACATGCCAGCAATTTACATCAAGCATATAAGGTGCGCATTCGTTCCTCCATAAAACCCAAACGTAACGTCAGAATCAGCACAATCGGTGATTGTTGTAAAATGCCGTCTTTACTGTTGCTAAATTGCGGGACATGTCTTGTAATAAAGCACAATAATCCTCGCAAGAGACGCTGATGCCAAGGCTGAAATGTGGCGTGCGCTCCAATACGGACCGCAACTAGACAAGCAAATTAAACTTTGGGCTTCGGGTGCACATCCAAGCGATCAAATACACAGAAAATGTGTCAAGATGGCCGGCTTGGAGAGTGTTCACTTAAACACAGTTTATGTCTTAAATGGACGGGAACAGTTGAAAGAAAATCCGACGTGTGACAATATTCTCTTGTTAATGTTAATTAATGTTAATCAAACAACAAAATGCAAAGAGAAAATCACTCACAGCTCTCAATCTGAATGACGTTAGCTTTAATAAGCATTAATCTATCAATTCATAAAGTGAAAATTCAAGTTTATTATTTGTATAGCGCTTTTATGCAGTCAAAACTATGCAGTGTTCATTTACATTTGATTACTTTATTAGATTTCTTTTGTAGACTATATTAGACTTACCTGAACAGTAAAACAATAACAAAAAAATGCCTGCACACTGGTGCATTTACAAATGTATGTTTTATATTATTATTGATAAACTGTCTGAAAAAAGAAAGTCGCGTTTTAGAGAAGAAAAAAATCACCCACTGACTTTCAAACTGCTACATAGTAACGACTTTCTACTTCTCTACTTTGAGAGTGAAAAGTACAATATTTGTCTTTCAAATGTAGTGAAGTTAAAGTCATAAGTTCCCAGAAAAAATAATACTCAAGTAAAGTACAGATACTCAAAAAGTGTACTTAAGTACAATACTCAAGTAAATGTACTTAGTTACTGTCCGCCTCTGATACACATACAAAAGTACCAATAAGAATACCGTTAAAGTACCGGATCGATTAGCAGTATCGGTAAGACTAGTAATACTGTTAAAACCTTAACGATACCCATCCCTAGTCAAGAGCTACTTACAAATCAGAAAAGGTGATTGTTCTGTGTTATTTTGATAATTCCTGAACAAATTATAATTTCAGTTAAGTTACCTTTATGTCTTTTTATCAAAGAATCCTAAAAAAAAAAAGTATCACAGTTTCCACAAAGATATTAAGCAGCACAACTGTTTTCAACGTTGATAATAATAACAAATGTTTCTTGGGCAGCAAATCAGTATATCAGAATGATTTCTGAAGGATCATGTGACACTGAAGACTGGAGTAATGATGCTGAAAATTCAACTTTGCATCACAAGAAGAAATTGCATTTTAAATGTATTCAAACAGAAAATAGTTGTTTTAATATTTCAGATTATTACTGTTTTTACTATATTTTTGATCAAAACGAATCCTGGTTGCCATAATAACCCATTCATTACTACATAGGGAACATAAATATAAATATCTGATTCAGTAGTATTAGTAAAACAAAAAAAACCCTACATTTTTGTTTATCACTGGCCATTTGAATAAAAGAATAAACAAAATGCAATGGATACAAACAATATATAAAGGGAAGAAAATGAAATCATATCTCACATATCCAAACATGTTTATGTCAGCAGAATATTTTATTTAGCCAGAAAGACATTTCTGTCTGAATTTTCTTCCTCACACCAAACTGTTTCCTGAGTCTATGTGTTGCATTGCAGACTTCAGGATCTCAGTAAAGCGTGCATTAGCAGATGAAAGTGCATTGGGTTCACAAATGAAATATGATACAAATGTAGTTTTAGGTTTAGTACTTATCATAGAAATTATATTATTTGAAGAATACTTAAGTGTGAACTGATTGTAATGTTTTCAGACACTTATCTGTATGTTAATTGCATTTACATAAAAGTGTATTATTGTTTACGTTTATTAAATGCAATAAGCTGAACTTTAAATGCTTTTTGGGCAAGGGGAAATAAGTACATCTTTATATGTAATTTTATAATTCTATTGTCTTTGGAATTTAAATTGATGAATGACGAATGTATACTGACAAGCATTTATGGTATTTATGTCATTTCTCTTCA